AAAACTAGACCCCCGCCTCGCTATTGTCTCGCGCTCTGCCAAGTTTATTATAAGCAGCGCGCGAGGCGCAGCGCCCTGTCAAACGGAGCGCGAGCGCAGAGCGAACTGCAGGAGGGAAAGTGAAGAGACGGAGGCAGAGGGAGGAACCCAGGAGAAAGTGAAGCAGGAGGGTGAAACCGTAGAGAGAAAAGGGAAAACGTCTGGATTATTTACCGTGAAAAACCAAAAACAGCCGCGTGGGAGTGAGATATAAGCCGCACAGCTGTCAGGAGTTTGGGAGAGTCGAACCAACGACGTCCTTGGAGACGCTGGAGAGACAAACCGACAGTGAACAGAATTCAGTGTAGCTCCTAAAGTAAAATCCAGCTCCAGACACGCCCGAAGACTCTGACTCTGAGTTCACCTCAGCGTGTTTGCAGACCGGTGTTTGCACCGGCTGACCTCCATGTACAAGATGGATTACTCCTACCTGAACTCCTATGACTCCTGCATGGCGGCCATGGAAGCGTCGGCCTACGCGGACTTCAGCTCCTGCAGCCAGGCCAGCTCCTTTCAGTACAACCCGATCCGGAGCGGCCCCTTCTCCAACCCGGGCTGCACTCCGCTCAGCACGGCCAGCTGCACCCTGGGCGCCCTGCGGGAGCACCAGCCCACACCTTACTCCTCAGGTACAGGAACCTCTTGTATTAAGGTCCGAAGGGCAACAGTATGGTAATGAAAGGTCACAGGACGAGAGATTGTCCATCGGGATAAGAATTATGCTTTAAACAAGCTGCAGGCTACACCTTGGCGGAGCTGCTCCTATTAATATAAAAGAAGCAGCAAAAAAATAAAAATAAATAAAAAAAAAAGGAAATGCTTCAACTCTGTTTCGTTATAAATGATTTAACCATCTTAGGCCTAAACAGTTTTACACGGGCTTTTTATTAATACACTTAAAACTGATTTATAATTGTATCATTGCAAAAGCTCATTTATGAAAGGAAACGTTTCCAATCGTAAACCGTGTAAAACGAAGTTTATGTAGAAAAGCTAAGAGATTTTTAAAGGT